AATAAGATGGCGACTGTTATTACGAGAAAATGTAAGAATTTCGCTGCAGGGATGTTATTGTGACGATTACTCTTGTGAAAGCGTTGTCCACTTTGCAGCTGTTAGCCGCTGGCCACACACAATTACCAGCCCCTCCAATAACCCCAAACACACGCAATACACGCCCATCTCGCCACCACGGCCATCTTATCGCTATCACTACCACCTCAACTGTTCTTCCAATATATGCAACGGTGTATTGCCAACACTGAAAACTCCTCCGGATCCCATCTTACACAAAACACAAAATGGCGAAAAGCTTTTCGCGCGAAATGTTAAAAAAGAAAAATTGATGACGTGAAAAGAAGATTGAGAAAAAATCCTCCCTGATGAAGAAAGAATGGAGAAAAAAAAATGGGTATCAAAGAATAAGCAATAAAATTAAGCCGTTGACAAAATAAAAAAGAATTTTAAAAAAATGGAACTGTGAGAAGAAGGTAGAGAAAGGGAATAAAAAGAAAATAATAATAATAATAATAAGAGTAATGACAACTGGAAAACTTTATTGAAATACCTGCAATGCAATACAATGCCAATTCTAGTTTTAAAATGACTTCACATATGATTAATGATGTAATAATATATATATATATATATATATATATATATATATATATAATTTATTCAAGAATTATAACATAAATAGGTTATAAAATCACTACAAAAATAGCCATTTTGTTTCAACAAAAGCTTTATCTTAACATTCAATACCATTGAATTTGAATAAAACACTTTAAGTGTTGGAAACAAAATGGCTATTTTTGTAGTGATTTTATTACATATTTATATTATAATTTTCGAATAAATTATATTTGTTCTACTCTGTACTCTTTTTTAAGAATAGTATTTTTGGGTTATTAGAAATTATTCCGTATACACCAATCTTATACTTGGGTATATATATATATATATATATATATATATATATATATATATATATAAAAAAAATAAAAAAGAAAGAACAGTAAGATATAAAAATCCGGTGTTCTTATAGATATTTTATTTTTACAAAATAGTGCTCAATGTAAATTTACAGAGTATTTTTTTTTTTTTTTTTTTTTTTTTTTAATTAAGACGACATCCATTCAACCGACGTCAGGTTTCAGAGTAAAATACATCCTCACCCCTTACCAAAATGTAGCTAATAACTGATACAATGATACTGTCATAAGGAAAATCTAGACACCCCGTGTTCAATTTGAGTAGAATATTCTGTAACCATGGAAACGTGATTTTAGCTGTGTATTTAAAACCCGGTAAATTTTAAAAGTTACTCCAAAATTCGCTTGAAGATGAAATGGAACTAATGCTTTTAATTTATTTGCAAAAATAAAATTAGGGGTTTTTAGCTTCTATTTTTGAAACATGGTTGGAACTGTGTAGCGAAAATAACCATATTTTAAATCAATTAATTTATAATATTATATATATATATATATATATATATATATGCAGTGTTGATACAGGATCAATGCCGAATGCCGACAGCCTGTTTCATGGCCGGGAGCTTACTTTCAAGATTAAACAGATTGTCGCTATTCGGTTTTGATTTCTGTGCTCATACACACCATCTCTATTATCGAGTACTTTTTTAGCCTATAAATATTACATAGTTAAAGCATATATGTTATCTTATATATATATATATATATATATATATATATATATATATATATATATATATATATATATATATATATGAAGAAATATAGTCTTAAGATGTGCTATATTTATGGGATAAAGTGATCAGTATCAGAGATAGAGCGTTTGTAAATATAAAAATATAAAAGGTGGCCTGACGATTGCATCTAGCATGAGACAGACTGTCGCCGCTATGTATTGACTTCTATGTTCACTTTCATATATATATATATATATATATATATATATATATATAAAATAAATGCTGATAATATCATTGTGTCACGGTTTTTCAACTTATAGGGACACAACTCTCTAATTTTCAATAGCTCATTTCAAATGAAATAAAAATGCTGTTCTCAAATTAATGTGTTTCAAAATGAAATTGTCCGTGTTTTCAACTTTACTCCTAGAGGCTGTTGCCTAACATATCAATACGATTTTGGAATCAGTTCGACTCAGTCAGCAAATTAAAAATATTCCGAGCCGAATCCAGATCCGTAATCCTGAAACGTCTTATTCCAAAGTTTACATAACTGCGATTTTTTACGTGATTTTTTTGCGACGAATTTTTATTTTTTTTACGATAATATATTTTATAACTTGGAAATGAGTTTGGGAATATTCAAAATTAATTACGAAACCCAGAGAAATTTCCTCATGAAACCAAATAATTGTTTGTATGGAAAATAAGGACCTACATACATCAAACTGTCTTTAAATTAAATGGTGGCATAAGAACTATCTTTGAAGCTTTAAAAGGTAAGCTTAAATATTAATGCGACGCTTAAATACAGCGATTAATTTTGAGTTCTTCTATAGTTTATTGTTGCATATCACATCTACTCCTCCCAACCTATTGTGATGAAGGCTCAATGAAGAGCCCCCCTGCAGGAACTAGCTTAAATGCCGCTTTATAGGTGGGTGCTTGTAAGCTAATATATATATATATATATATATATATATATATATATATATATATATATATATTTTTATTTAAAAATGATAATGTAAATATGTTATAAAATCACTACAAAAATTGTCATTTTCTTTCAACACCTCTGGTGTCGTTTCTACATTCAACATCATCACTTGATAAGACGCCAGAAGTGCTCAAGCAAAATGGCTATTTTTGTAGTGATTTTTATAACATATTTATGTTATAATTTTCAAATAAATAATTATATCTGCTCTACTCTGTATTGAGCACTCTTTTAAAAATAGTAATTGTTGGTTATTGGAATTTATTCCGTATACACCAATCCTATACTTGGTATATATATATATATATATATATATATATATATATATATATATGTGTGTGTGTGTGTGTGTGTGTGTGTATAGAGAGAGAGAGAGAGTTATGAACCAATTGAAATAGATAGATAGTGGTAAGTTTTTTCGCGTGATACGTTTCGTCCTGTGTGGACTTCATCAGACTAAATTTGTTACGTTGGTGCGACTACGCATGCGCACGAACGACGGTTGCTAGGAATTTTAAATTTAATTTTAAAATTTTTTTCTATATAATCTAACCGATTTCATTTAAATTCTTTTTCTATTTGTTTCCATTACATTTTTTTTAATTAGATATCCCACACTGTAATAATGGAAGATCTGCCAGGAATGGTGAAATTTTGTAAAAGCCAGGGTGCAAATTTACTGTGGATGACATTGCGATCAAACTGATCTCTAAATATTTTCGTGGTAATGAATTGTTTTCTCCTTGTAAAAAAAAAAAAAAAAATATATAAATTTCCCAGCATCCCTCGTTCTTGCGCATGTGTATTCGCACCAGTGTAATAAATTCTGCCCGATTAAATTTTAAAGGACGAAACGCATGACACAAAACCTTTTTCCACTTTGTTATATATTTTCCTTGTTAAATTGTTCTTGATATACAAAAATTTATATATAGTTAAGGTGATGCTACCTTTCAAGAAAGTGATTCTTTGCACCTTCTCGGGCTGATGTCTTCATCTAACATGAGGTGGAAAGTTATTATTGAGTCCATTGTTAGATCAGCTACTAAGAAAGTCAGTTCACTGTATAAGGCAGACAATTTTTCTCTCTGGAATCTATCTTGTATATCTATAAGTCTGCCATTCGTCCATACCTAGAATATTGCTGCCGTATCGGTGCCCCTGTTATATTGCTGCAGCACCTCGATAAGATCCAAAGAAGAATCAGCAATATTATTGGTCATGACCTGGCGTCTCGGCTTCACTCCTTTTCCCACAGCCGTAAGGTTGCCTCTCTGTGTCTTTTTTTTTTATAAATACTTTCATGGTATTTTTTCGGGTGAGCTCTTTGCTATGGTATCTAGACTGTATGAATTTAAACGCAATACTAGAGTGGCAGTGAGGTCTCAACAATTTACAATTGAACTAGCTAGCTGTAGCCGTAATTTCTATGCTGACAGCTTTTTATCTCGCAATTCTCCCTTGTGCATCTCCCTTCCTTCTCCCTGTTTTCCAACCAACTTTAACCTGTAAAAATGTAAATGCAATGTCAATCGCTATCTACTGTCCTCTTGATTGCTCTTTTCTCTTTCTGCTCATTACATATGTTTCTGTTCCTACACAACCTGTAAGCCCTTGCTTGTTACTGGTTCTATTGCCTTGTTTGGGGTGATACCGATTAAAAATATACATTATTAAATACATTCATACATATGTTCGTAACTGAAACGCCAAGAAAATTATTCTAGATGGATTTAAAAAAAAATGAGCTTATTTCTTAATACGTAGTATTACTCTGATTTCCCGTGGCCTTATTGGTCGGGCACAATTCGATTAAATGAGTCGTTTCCCTAATGGAAAAAAAAAGGAATGAAGGCTCGATTGTTATAAACGTTTTCGTCACTAAAATATTTTCGCCTTCTAGGCCGGATGACATTAATTTCACTTCTAAAAATAACGCGTGTTTATCTAAAAATAAATACACTTAAATTCACCTTCATCCCTGTCGTGCGCCAATGGCTTAGGAGTAGAGTGTCCGACTGAAGCCAATTCAGCTGGGTTCTGATCCTAGCTAGAGGCAAACGGAGGAAGAAGAACCCTCTCTGGATAGACAGAACATGTCGACATTAACGTTAAAGAACTAGGTAAGTTAAAAGTTGGTAAGTTAGGTAAGTTGACAGCTCCACAATAGCACATGAGATTTGGTTATAGTGTTGAATTTCTTTTCTCTCTGGACTAGTGGTCACTGACCGTGAAAAAAGAATTGACGACGATGACCAAGACCACCCTCACCAAGGGGACAGGCAACAGCGCTTCTTTTCTTTACATGTGCCACGTCCTTTCAGCACGTAGGCGATCATGGCTCTCCACCTCCCTCTATCCCTTGCAGCTCCCAACAAGTTCCTTCCCTCTGCTTCCTTCCTCAGACCACCTTCTCTCATCCACTTGCTTAAGTCCGCCAGGTATGTCACGCGTTGTTTTCCCTTGTCTCTCTTTCCCTCTATTCGACCCGTGCGTATCAGCTTCTCCAGGCCCTCCTTCCTCATTATGTGTCCCAGAAACTTCAGCTGCCTCTTCCTGATGTTTGCAACCTCTCTAAGACCTCATCTTTGCTCACACGCTCGGTCCATGATATCCTTAGCATCCCTCTGTAGAGCCACATCTCTGTCGCCTCGAGTCTCTTCTTCATCTATGAAGAAATCGTCCAACATTCGCTGTCGTAAAGAAGGACAGATGTCACGTAACTGCTCAGTAATTCTTTTCTTTGTTATCAAAGAAATCCTCCTGTCTCGCAATTCTCTACCCAGCTTTTGGAATCAGTCCATAGCTACCCCAATACGTATACGGATCTCAGTGTCGCACTTATCGTCCTCTGTCAAGACGCTTCCCAGTCGGCTTGATTCTAGTGTTCCCGACCTGCAAATCGCATTTCGGGCTCTTCCTCTTACTGATGACCATGCATTCTGTCTTCTTGTAGTTTATACTTAGTCCTTTCTTCTCACTCTCCGTCGCTACCTTCTGTAGGAGATTTTGTAATTTTTTTTTCCATGTCTGCTATCAATACTGTGTCATCTGCGTATTTTATGCTGCTAACATTGTGACCAACAATCTCTCAGAATTGCCTCGCTGTATAGGATGAATAGGTCGAGTTCCTGGCAACAGCTCTACAGAATCACAAACAAGGAACTGTACAAAATAACCGAATTACTTGGCGACTGTCAACATCAGTAACAACTAAAATGGATAAAGCATGACAGAATGAAGATGATGACTTTCTACATGACTTCAAAAATAGTTAGGAAAGAAGCACTAATCAATACAAGAAAGAGAAACGACAGCTTGAGGAAGTTATTTTTCTGAAAGAATTGGTTCAAGAGAAAGGTATTTAAAAAATCTAACTGTCGGTAGCACTGCCTGCTCGATCAATCAATGTTTCCTTATAAGGAAACGGTTAATATTATCATTACCATTCTATAGAATAATATATAAGTTTCCTCTTCGCATGTGACAAAATTTTACAGCATTAACTCTTATATATATGTATAGCTGGCCATTCGTATTCGAAAATCGCTATTGCAGACACTTGCTCAGGCGCATTTGTGCATATTCAACACCCACAGAGCCCACTTGTAGTTTATACTGCAACTATACTGAGCAGACCTTAGTTACAGTTTCTGGGAAAGAGCATGTTATCTAGCGTGATTAACAATTTGAACAAGGCCGGCCGGCTCAAGCCCTCAACCACTATGACTTGTAGCTTCGTGCTAGCACAGCTATCGATGCCACCCAAGGGTCCCGTCTACCCAATTTCACTCACAAGGCTTGGGTCAACCCGTGGTATGATTTTCAGTGCTGCACGCGAGGATCGATAACAGTCCGATAACATCATGGCGAGAAGGCGAACGTTCTAACCAATCGGCCACGTGCCCACTATCTATCTATCTATCTATCTATCTATCTATCTATCTATCTAATTCTTTTCTTTATCTATCTATCTATCTATCTAATACTTTTCTTAATCTATCTATCTATCTATCTATCTATCTATCTATCTATCTAATTCTTTTCTTTATCTATCTATCTATCTATCTATCTATCTATCTATCTATCTATCTGTGTCTGACCATTGGTCTGCCTGACACTGCTTTATCAATCTACTCTTATACAGAAGGATCGTTATCGCATAGCAGTTCAAGTCTCCTTTTTCTTCATGAAATTCATAATGAATACGTCCACCAAGCCAAATGTGGACACAAGTCGCATGTTCAGAGCAACTATTGCGGAACAGTATTACAGGTAAGAGACCTTCCTTTTCGTACACTGACTACGGAGCTAGAAAGTGTACCTGGGCTCATTCAAGAATATGCACGTGATTCGGAAAGATGTTTCGGCGAAGTGCACTTCAGAAGCTGCCTGATGTTAGCGATACTTTTGTTTGTCCGTTGCGATTAAAATTGCAATCGCACTTGTTTTGTTTGATTTTGTTTAGCACGACATTCTCGGTTCGTTTATTTATTTGTTTGTTTGTTTGTTTTTTACTTGGTTGACAGAGGATGATTGGTAATTATTGCCAACAACGTCTATGACTATCCCCTGGCAATATTTCGTTGACGAGAGCAGAAGTGGTTTTTTTATATGGTCGTCGGAGAGTAAGGAGGGGAGTAGCTGGAGTAGAGAAATCGTCTTCTTAAAGGAAGGAAGGAAGGAAGGAAGGAAGGAAGGAAGGAAGGAAGGAAGGAAGGAAGGAAGGAAAGATTGTAGCATGGAAAAAAAAGAAAGTGAGAAGATAGCTAGCTAGGGAGAAAGAGAGAGAGAGAAAGAAAGAAAGATGAAGAGAGGAGAGAATGCGATAGAAACTAAAAATAACGGGAAATATGGAAAAGGCTAATTGTCAGGAAAATAAATACGTAATTAAGTATAACACACACACATACACATACACTTACACGCACACACGTATATTACTGAAATATGTACAGAGAATGTATGTGCTTGTTTGTATATATATATATATATATATATATATATATATATATATATATATATATATATGTATGTATGTATGTACGTAAGTATGTATGTATTCATTGATTAGTGAATACATATATGTGACGCAAACCTTGATATTCATAATGATACATCTGAAAAGATGGATCTGAAAAGACAAAAACATACATATGAAAAGACGAATCGATATGAACAGATATAGATAGATCGGTAGACAGATATGAGTAAATAGATAGATAGATACAAGTAGAGATGCATACAAAAAATAGATATGAAAGTTGAATAGATAGATATGAGCAAATAGATAGATACGGGAAAGATAGATAGATAGATAGATAGATAGATAGATAGATAGATAGATAGATAGATAGATAGATGCATACAAAAATAGATAGATATGAAAAGACAAATAGGTAGATAGATAGATAAATACAAAAATAGATATAAAAGACGAATAAATTGATCGATAGCTAGAAACAATCATAGATAGATAGATAGATAGATAGATAGATAGATATGAAAAACGAATAGATAGAAAGATAGAAAGAGAGATAAATGCAAAAATAGATAGATATGAAAAGACGAACAGATCGATCGATAGATAGAAACAAAAAGATAGATAGACATGAAAAAACGAATAGATAGAGAGATAAATACAAATATTGATAGGTATGAAGAGACGAATAGATCGATCGATAGATAGAAACAGCCATAGATAGATAGGTAGATTGATAGAAAGAAAATTTTCATTTTTAATTTACAGGATATACTGTAAATATTAAATTACTTATCATGCGCAAGGTCCTCTTCAACATTGAGAGTAATTTACCGAATTATTAAAAAAAAAATAAAGAACAAACTTTGACTCAAATCCATAATCGCAAAATATTAAATGAGAATCAATTTTGAAACCAATGGCGTTTTCAACCTGATCACCGTAAGACTAGATCCACAGAGATGGAGTGAAATTGTTATCAAAAATGAACGACTGGATTTGAGTAGGTTGATAATGCAGTGCCAGGCAGAGCAATGGAACGATAGATATGAACATGGTCAAATAGATAGATAGATAGATAGATAGATAGATAGGATAGGATAGGATAGGATTCCGTTTCCGATAATTTGAAAAAGATGAAATAAAAGGAGAGATCGTTTGAGAAAGAAGGCAAATTCGTAGAAGTTGGAAAATGGAGCGAGGCATGTTATTGGCTGTGGCTAGCAAGATCTCGCTTTCCTTTTCCATAATTTGTAATTTCTTATTATGCGCAACAAGATGATGTCACGCCACGAGACGAGACGTGACGAGATTTGACGCGTGCACGTGCCGCGTTCACTCCCTTCAAGGCGACCAAACCGTTGGCCATTAATCATTGCTTTTTCTTCCCTCCTTCCCGATTTCTATTAATTATTTATGTTTTCTGTTTTGTTTTCTCGTCTCTTTTCGGTTTCCTTATCTCTATTGCTTGCAGCTTCATTCATTTGGTGTTTTTTTTTTTGTTTTTTGTTGTTTTTTTTTTATCAAAAGAAGCTAATATATCGTTTGAGTAGGCGTGGACGGAGAAGGCGTGGCTAAAAAGCTTTTGGTGACGTCATTTGTTTTGATTGATTGCCCAGTAGCCGCAACTGATAGTTGTAACTTTTTAAACACACACACACACACACACACACACACACACACACACACACACACACACACATAAACACACACAAAAATAAACAAACAGAAAAATAAGTAAAGGCAAAAATATAGAAATAAACAAAAGAAAGACAAGAGAATAAACAACCCCCCCAAAATAAACAAATAAAAAAACAAACAAAGAAAAAAAAACGAATAACCTTAAACGTGTCTCTTATTCTCCAGTTTTCTTATCCCCTAAATTGTCATGGCGTTGCGTGGATTTCGTTGGTTCATTATTAGGCTCTGTTTGATTGGTTGCAATTTTTAGCCAATCGTTGCAATTTTCTGGCCAATGTTTTTTGCAATTTGTCTTCCTCTTCAGCGGCAGTGGATTCATTCTAATGCTGACAAATCATGCATCGGATTACGCGAACTAGGTCATAATTACTTTATAATCTGAAAAAAAAAGGGAGTTTCCATTCTTATATATACCATAGATAAATTAATCGTTTTCCCGATTATTGCAATATCTGCACACACACACGTACGCACAAATATATATATATATAAGTATAGGATTGGTGTATACGGAATAAATTCCAATAACCAACAAATACTATTCTTAAAAGAGTGCTCAATACAGAGTAGAGCAAATATAATTATTTATTCGAAAATTATAACATAAATAATAATTATGTTATAATTTTTGAAAAAAGTATTATATATATAATGGACTAAGCCCGACAATTATTTTAATACAGATACAAATATTTAAGTAAATTCTCTTAACCGGCCTGAATGTCCATAGAAAATATGCGTCCTTCGACAGGAATCGAACCTGTATCCTACACAGAACCTGCGTGGTAAATGGTATCGTCTGACGTGCTATACCATTTAGCTACAGAGGAAACGTCTGGTTAGCAATTTGGAATTTGTAGTTTAAAAGCAGTAATTCTAACTTGCTAATCAGACGCTTTCCTCTGTAACTAAATGGTATAGCACGTCAGGCTATATGACGATTACGTGTAAGGCACAGGTTCGATTCCTGTCGGAGGCCACGTATTTTCTAGATAGATAATGGCTCAGACTTGTTCATCGGAGAGCCGTGTTCCAATTTCTGTTGGGTTTGTTATATTCGCTTACACGCAAATATCCTTTGGAAAGGCATAAACGCACTTTTCGCCCAGCTACAGGTTAATTAGTCAGGTTTGTATCACTAAACAATTATTATCGCCCCACCATACACAAAAAAAATCTTACAATCTAAAACTATTTCTTGACTTTAAATAACCTTCAAAGTGTAGATACGCCGTAGAAAATGAATCAATTGTATCGCACAAGGTATTTATTTTTTGAACTTAATTTGTAGAAATTGCAAAAATTGTGCGTCCCGGCTATCTATTAGCTATTTAGGCAGTAAAAACAAATTTGAATAAGTTTTATCAAAATCAGCCGACAAGGTTTATTTTTCCACTTCTATATAATAAATGCGAGTGACAGTGTGTCACATCTTTTCAATTAAAGGGACACAACTCTCTAACTTTCATTAAATCATCATCTTCTTCTATACTGTTGAAATCCGGTACCAATAAATAACAAACGCCAGGGATGAATATATGAAAATAATGTATTAACGTAATAATACAAACTGGTAAAGCAGGTTACTAGTTCCAGGAATACGTGTTAGTATCAAAATATATATACAGTCTTTGGGACCATAACAGGTGCTACCACCCAGGGTCGAGCTGGACCTGGGAACAACATCAATTAAGAAGTGATTCCACGCTCCTCAAAACCTCAAATCTCAGCCGAGGGTAGTTTATCGTCATACCCAGAATGATCCAATTTATATGCAACCATCTGAAGAGCTTGGAATAATACTTTTAAGGGTTACTGATAATGAAAGAAACTGAGAAAAAGTTACTGAGAAGTGTTGTGGATTCCGGGTTGAAATCCGGTACCAATAAATAACAAACGCCAGGAATGAATATATGAAAATAATGTATTAACGTAATAATACAAACTCGTAAAGCAGGTTAGTAGTTCCAGGAATACGGGTTAGTAGCAAAATATATATACAGTCTTTGGTATTGAAGTATCGCTGTTGTGACTTCTTACTGAGTCTACGTGCCCGCTCACTGTGACTCCCTACAACGCTGTTACCTCACCCCCACTCTTCCGGTTACCTACAACCTTTTACTCGACTCTTCGGGTATTCACTGGCAGTAGTATAAGTATACACTGGGTGATTCCGTTTGTATAAAGAGGGGTGGACCCCTCAACATATGCAATAAATCCGAATGTGAGGGTGTTAAACCTTTCCAATTTTACTCCTAGAGACCGTAGTCCAACATATTATACCCCTCTGGAATCGAATCCGGATACGCAATCTTGAAATTTTGGATTCCCAAGTTTTCATTAAATGCGATTTTTTTCGGTGATGTTTTTACGTGATTTTTTGCAGCGAATATTTTGTACGATAACAATTTTTATAACTTGGAAATAAACCTGGGACTAATCAAAATTAACTGCAAAATCCAGCGAATGTCATCCATGAAATAAAAAAAGTGTTGTGGTGTTCTCCTTCTAATAGTCTGTGTTAGACTCTTCCGCCTACTTGTGGTGTCCTCCCTCTAAGAGTCTATCTTAGACTCTTCCGCCTACTATAAGTTTAGTAGGAGAGAAAGTTCGGGGAACAGTGAACAGTGTATGGATTGTGCACTAGTTCATTCGATACACTCTCACTAGTCATGTAATACTCTTCTGTTAAACTTACTGTTAAATATACGATATATCTGCAAACCTGGTTTTTGTTATTACTTAACCATTTACTTGGTCATAACAAAATGATTCTTTGTACAGAAAGAAAGGACCTACATACATCAAATTCTCTTTAAATTAAGTGGCGACAGAAGAATTATAGTTGACGCTTTAAAAGGTAAGCTTAATTATTAATGCGATGCTTATATGCAGCGATTAATTTTGAGTTCTTCTATAGTTTATTGTTGCATAACACATCTACTCCTCCCTACCTATTGTGATGAAGGCCCAATGAAGAGCCCTCTGTAGGAGCTAGCTTGAATGCCGCCTGATAGGGCGTCCTTTAAGCGAGCTTAGAATAAATTTTTGTACATCCGGATTAAAATCTTACTTATTATAAAACACAGATTGTGTGTGTGTATGTCTGTACGTTTATATATGTGATCGGATTTCCTACATTTTTCAACCGATTTCAACAAAACTTCACAGGACTGCGTAAAATTACCTTGCGGTGGTTCTGACAGCGATAAAAATGGGAAAAACACAATTGTTTTTGCACGAAATCAATTTGAAAACACGATTCTGTCGTCAGAATGAAAGGGGTACAACTCATATCGAGTTATACTTATTATAAAACCCAGGTTGTTTGTGTGTGTGTTCGTTTATATATGGGATCGGATTTCCTAGATTTTTCAACCGATTTCAACAAAACTTTTTTTTGGCAGGTAGTGTTTCTTATTGTCTTGCACACTTTTTTCTTTATTTTTACATTCAGAATGCTTTAAAAATTCCATTCACAAGACAATTGTTTATAATAACATTCTATTCAATCGGTAGACTCATAACGATTGAAAACAATGTTTTTGTTTGAGTTTGGGTTTGACCAATTCGTAAAAAAAAAAAAATGATTAAGACATGTGTGTCCGTCAACCTTAAACAATAATCTTTGTCAATTTTATTTTTCAGTCTTTATGGTGGTCGATACTTGATCTATCTCTTACTGTTACATCCCCGGGCAACGCCGGACTCTACTGCTAGTTGTAAATAAATTGTTCAAAGTTAATGGTTTGTGTTTTGGGTTTTTTCTTTCATTTCAGGTCTTTCAAACAGCTCGGTCATTACCAAGAACTAAATGTCAGCATCTTAGAAAATTATTTTTTTTAGCTACATCATAGCGTTTTGGGAGAACGTTATATTTGAAGAAGTAGTAGAAGAAAGGGAAGAAGGAAATGTAAAAGAAAATCAAATTAAATAGAAGAGAGGGAGTTAAAAGGAAAAAGACGACAACGAAGATATAAAGAAGAAAAAGGAAGAAAAAATGTTAAAAAACAAGAAAGATGAAGCAATAGTATGATGAAAAAGGATAATGAGGAAGGAAGGAAGGAGGGAAGGAAGGAAGGAGGGAGGGAGGAAGGAGGAAGGAAGGAAGAAGGGAAGGAAGGAAGAAAGGAGGGAAGGAAGGAAGGGGAAGGAAGGAGGAAAAGAAGGAGGGAAGGAAGGTAGGAAGGAGGGAAGGAAGGAAAGAAGGAAGGGGAAGGAAGTAAGGAGGAAGGAAGGAAGGAGGGAGGGAAGGAGGAAGGAAGGAAGGAAGGAGAGGGAGGAAGGAAGGAGGGAAGGAAGGAAGAAGGAAGGAAGGAAGGAAGAAAGGAGGGAAGGAAGGAAGGAGAGAAGGAAGGAAGGTAGGAAGGAGGGAAGGAAGGAAGGAAGGAAGGAAGGAGGGAAGGAAGTAAGGAGGGAAGGAAGGAAGGAGGGAGGAAGGAGGGAATGCAGGAAGGAAGGAGGGAGCAAGAAGGAAGGAAGGAAAGAGGGAAGGAAGGAAGGAGGGGGAAGGAAGAAAGGAAAGAAGGAAGGAGGGAAGGAAGGAGGGAGGGAAGGAGGGAGGGAGGAAAGAACGAAAAGGGTGCGACGACGTGAAACCGGGTGCGAAAATCGTCAAAATGGCGGTGATTGGAAGGCTATTAAAGGTCAGTGGCTTGAAAGGAAGGTGTAACTTTGTCTTCCAGACAACCTGCCTCACCTTTTCAACACTGATGTTTTGCATGTCGTAATCACTGCAAGAAAGGACCCCCACCCACACAGGGTTGAGACTATCCCTGTGTCGCCACTTCTCCCCTGGCGATGTGTATTATTGTCAAGGGCAAACAAAACAGTCGGTGAGTGTCAGCATAAACAAACAATTCGTGATAACAGAAAGAATAATCATTGCAATAGCAAAGTACAGAGAGAGAAGGTAAAGTTTGCGGGAGGTAGGATGAAAACTGAAGAGTGAAGAGAGAGAAAAAGAAAGACTGAAAGAAAGAGGTGGAGGATATAAGATAAAGTAAGGAAGAAAAAAGTGTGGGTGGTGACTGAAAGAAAGATAAAAGAAAAAAGGGGGAGAGAGGATATAAGATAAAGAAAGAAAGAAGGAAGCAAAGAAAGAGTTGGGTGGAGAAAGAAAAACATTCAAAAAAAAGAATATCGAGGGATGGTATAAAATAAATTGTGGCAGAAGAAAGAAAGAAAGAAAAAAAGAAAGAAAGAAAGAAAGAAAGAAAGAAATTGTTAGAGGGTATAAAACAAACTGAGGTAGCAAAAAGAAAGAAAGAAAGACAGAAAGGGAGGCAAGCTATAAGATGAACAAAGAAAGAATGAGCCAGAAAAGAGAGGAGCAAAGAAAGAAAGAAAGAAAAAAGAAAGAAAGAAAAAAATTTATTTAGAGTATAAAACAAACAGAGGTAGCAAACAGAAGGGAGACATAAAGAAAGAAAGCGGCGAGGAAGCCAGAAAAAAAGTGAAGAAAGAAAGAAAGAAAGAAAAAAGAATGGTGAAGAAAGAAAGAAAGAAAGAAAGAAAGAAAGAAAAAAGAATGGTGAAGAAAGAAAGAAAGAAAGAAAGAAAGAAAGAAAAAAAAAGAATGGTGAAGAAAGAAAGAAAGAAAAAAGAATTAAGAAAGAAAGAAAGAAAGAAAGAAAAAAGAATGGTGAAGAAAGAAAGAAAGAAAGAAAGGAATTGAGAGGTTGCTCAAAAGCAAAGTAAGGGCACAGAAAATATTGAAAGGAACAATAAGAAAAAAGAAAGAAACAACTAAAAATGCTGGTAAAATAAAGAAAAAAATAAACAAATGTAGAGAAAAGAGAAAATGAAGAAAAAAGTATGAGTAGAAATAAAAAAATGACGAAAGAAGAGGGAGCGGGCGTGAAAAAGTAATGGGGAGGTTAGAGGAGAAATAGAGAACGAATAAGTGAATGAATAAGAGGAATGAATAAGTGAATGGATAAGAGGAATGAATAAGTGAATGGATAAGTGTATGTATAAGTGAACGAATAAAAGAATGAATAAGGGGAATGAATAAGCGAATGAATTAGAGGAATGAATAAGTGAATGGATAAGTGTATGTATAAGTGAACGAATAAAAGAATGAATAAGGGGAATGAATAAGCGAATGAATTAGAGGAATGAATAAGTGAATGGATAAATGTATGAACAAGTGAACGAATAAGAGAATGAATAAGGGGAATGAATAAGATGAACGAACAAGTTAACGAATAAGTGAATAAATAAGTTTACGCGGACTACATAAGAGAACGATTAAGTGAATGAATAAAAGATAGAATAGCTGAATAAATAAAAGGAATGAATAAGTAAATGAATACGAGTAATGAATAATTGAACGAATAAATGAATGACTAAATTAATGAGTAAGTGAACGAATATGTGAATGAATAAGAGGAATGAATAATTAAATGAATAAACGGAATGAATAAGTGAATGATTAAAAGGAATGAATAATGAGGAATGAATAATTGAACGAATAAGTGAATAAATATGTGAATGAATAAGAGGAATAATAATGGGGGAAAATAAGGAATAGTTGAACTGAAATAAAAGGGAGAAAAATATTAATAATTGATAATTATAAACATTTTGAAGTGAAAAAATATAAGGAGTCAATACGATAGTAGAATGAAGTGAAGAAAAAGAAAAAAAAAGGGATAAAAATAATTCGAGAAGAAGAAGAAGAAGAAAAAGACGAAGGAGAAGAAGAAGAAAAAGACGAAGAAGAAGAAGAAGAAGAAAAAGACGAAGAAGAAAAGGAAATGAAGAAGCAACCGAAAGAAAAGTACAACAAAAAAGAAGAAGAAAGAGGAAGATAAAAATAAGATTGAAGGAAAACATGACAAACAAGTACAAAGAAAAATAGCAAAAAAAGAGAAGGTAAACTTTATGAAAATATGAACGACGACGTGGACTACGTAGAAGAAGAAGAAAAAGAAGAAGAAAAGAAAAAGAAGAAGAAAAGAAAAAGAAGAAGAAGAATTAGAAGAAGACGAAGAACTACAAAAGAGCGCAAAAAGAAAAAGAATTATCCACTTCTTACACTCGAGAAAGAAAGAAGAAAATGAACAGTGGATGAGGATGTAACAGAAATAAAAGCCAATAAGAAACGAAAAGAAACCTCAAGGGTGGGGTGAGATAAAGAGAAAAAGGACGAAGAAAAATGAATGAACTTATAAAGAAAAAAAAAAAGGAAAGAAAATAAAAAGGAAAAAAATAAACCGAAAAAGAAGAAGAAAAAGATTATTCGTTAAAAATCTCATTTTTTTCTCGCTTTTACGCACTCTTTAACCCTACAGATAAAAAAACAAAAACAAAAAAACAAAAAAAACGACCCCGCAAAAGTATGATGACAATTTTGTAGAAATGGCGCGAAATAATGATAAATAAACAAAAGAGATGACAGAATAGAAATCGCTCGAAAACAAACTCTAAGAGTCGATGGTTGCTTTAAAACGAACTTCAATGACAGTCAGCAGCTGGGGAGTTAATAAGACGTGGATTTTAAAAGTATAGTGATGTACTGACGGCTACGAAGATAGTGAGGCATCAGCGCATTTCTCGGTGTTCGTGTATGTCATGTGACAATAAAATCCTCCTTCAATTGGTTAGAATAACCACGTGGATTAGTCTAGACAGTTTCGCTACTTACTACACAATAGCGAGACTCGTCCGTCTCCCGCCAAATGTAGACCGGCACTCTCCTCGATCTCAAGTATGATTATTAATATAGACCAACAGCCGGATATATCCTATTCCAGTTTTCTGTCACTTTATCTTCAAAAAATCCCATATCCACCCCTTTACTTCACATTACTGTTGGGTTAGAGTGGTCGCCGCTCAGAAGACTGAACTATCTGCTAGCCCAGCAAACAAAAACCGCCTCTTGCCATTCTACGTGGGTGCTTGCCTGTAGTATAATAGGCACTAATCCATCTACCCCACTTATAGGTTGAATAGCAGACAGAGTAGACTGGGTTTACTAGCTTTGGGTGACAGCCAGTTTAGTTGAACGGGAAACCACTCCCTCATCTCTCCCAAGATGTCATTGTAAGTCACAGATTGCTAACTCCCAGGAAAGTGACTCCTTGAGCCTTCTCAGACTCACGTTCTCTACTGATATGCAGTGGAAAGGCTATATTGAATTCATTACTAGTTCAGCGGCTAACAAATTTGATTCACTATGTCGAGCTAGACAATTTTTATCTTATTTATGTTAATTCCCCTCTCCAAATTCTCCACTGCCTTAACCGGGTATTGAACTGACACTCTTTGGATCTTGTCACTCAAGGACACATGGCGCAGTGGATAAAGATGTTAGTTAGTGTTGTTCATGATGACGGTCGTCTTCAAGTATAGAATCCAGAGGTTAGCAGTGAATATTCGAAGACAGTAGGGAAGCGTTGTTCAAGTTAGCAGTGAATATTTTGGTAAAAGTAGCAGAGCGTAGTTCGTCCTTCTGTTTCTCTTCGCCTGACAAGCTGGAACTGGACATCGGGTAGAGTAAACAAAATGGCCGCCTTTATACACGACGGATTGAATATTCTACGTCTTCTGATTGGTTAACCTTCTATTGGTGGACTATAAAGTGAGTCAAGTCATTTGGGCTAACTCACTAGTAGATAGATATACACAAAAAACTGTAACAGTTAGATCCAATGACATAACCCAAAGAGTGTGAGTTCAGTACCCGGTTAAGGCAGTGGAGAAATTGGAGAGGGGAATTAACAGGCGATAACTGATGGCATCCATTAAACGTGGCATGTGGAACTAGAGGGAAAATTAACAGGAGATAACTGATAACTGACATCCATTAAACATGTCACATGGAACTAAAACAGTCTACCCCAGTGAGCGAAATAAAGGGTTCGGTCGATAATCCAAACACCTGAAGAAGGCCGGAGCGTACAACGGCCGAAACGTTGTAATAAATATGGCGACAAAGATGAGGACAATAATCCGAATAATGTAATTAATGTAAATAATGTACATAATACCTCATCTCAGAAATATAGACAAACATTGACTTTGTTAGCTAAAAGATGAATAATAGTTTATATTTGAGTTTGTATGCATTTATTTGGAAGGTGACCCCCTTTTGGGGGGAACTTATCGCACAACAGAGGAAGTAGTCGGCATATTCTCGGCCCAGTCGTTGCATAGAGGATAAGTAAATTGACCGATTATAAAGCATTTACTTGGTTCGAGGATATGTAAATACCAGTGGTTTATATTACGGAATAAACCTGTACATGTTTCGGGAATATGTAAACATTGGTCGCTTATGTTTAAGTCTCTCACTATTTACTTAAAGCAAGGATAGGTCAATATTAGTTGATCATTTACTTGGTTCGACGATATGTAAATATTGGCCATTTAAGGAAAGGATCGCTCGTATTGACTCAATGATCCTGTCTACGGTCGAGTCCTTAATATTTCAGGATAAACAATCATTTGTTGCGAGGACAGGCAAATATTAGTCTTTTATATTGGAGTTTGTAAGAATTTAATTTCCTCGGTTCGGGTATAGATAAATATTCGTCATTTTTATATGCATATATAAATACTTAATTTGTAGAAGTCCCCTTTCGTGGGGGATCTTACACCTCTGAGCAGTTGAATTTACACCCACTGACATGGTACTTGGTTCGTGGATAAGTAAATAGTGATTGTTTTATTTATATCTCGAATGGATAAATATTGGTCGTTGATATTCACGTCTACAAATTGCTTACGTGCTAGGTAGCCCATATATATATATATATATATATATATATATATATATATATATATATATATATATATACCTGACGTGCTCTTACCGATTTAGGCACAGAGGAGCGGTTCGGTTAGCAATGTCGATTTTACTGTTTTTAAACCACAATTCTCCATGATTTTGTCTCATACATTCGTATATGCCCGATGCGTATCCAAATGTAAACAATATAGGATACATGTTTGATTCCTGTCGGAGGACGCATATTTTGTATGAAAATTTTGCGGATATTAAGGCCGGTATATGTTGTTTAATACTGTTTATTATAAACAGAGATTTTACTTAAATATTTGTATCTATAAAAAGAATGTATAAACATAAAAAATGCCTTAAAATAATTGTCGGACTTTATTCATTTGATAATGTGTGACGTCATTTGTTTACATTTGGATACACATGAATGTATGAGAGAAAATCATGGAGAATTGTGGTTTAAAAAACAGGAAAATCGACCTTGCTAACCAAAAACGTTCCTCTGTGGCCCAATATATATATATATATATATATATATATATATATATATATATATATATATATATATATATATATATAGAGAGAGAGAGAGAGAGAGAGAGATAGGTATGTATTAATGTATATTTGACCAGAACCTCTTTTAAAAATCTTTCGTTAAATATGGCAGAGAAGAAAAAATTTAAATTTTATTTAGTTTTGCCACCATTCTTATGTTTTTCCATTTCTTGGGAGTAAAGGAGTACAAAATTTTCCATAGTATCCATTCTACCAAGCGCATACTTCCGCTTCTTTAGCCATTTTCAAGGGTTTTTTCTTTAGATGTTCTTTTATATATATATATATATATATATATATATATATATATATATATTATTTATTTTTTAAAATATGATTCAAAATCGCTACATAAGAGGTCTCATGTTTCAAAACAAGAGCCGAAAACTTCAATATAATCCTTTAAATTAAATTGAGTTGAAATTAAAATGGGCTCCGTTCCATCTTCAAGCGAAATTTTTGTTGGAATAACGAATATCTGAAATTTACTTGTTTTAAAAATTGAAATCAAAATCCCCATGGTAACAGCTAGGGCGAATTGTCTAAATTGGGTAGGCGAATGTAGGGTGTTAATAATAAGTAGCGGTATAGAGATACTTTCAAGGTGTCAAGTCGGGGAAAGTTGAGGGTGTCAAAAATGAAACGGAAGATGTATTAATCTTCGTTTAGTTTGCTAGTCTATGGATATTTATTTATTTATTTTATTTTATTTATGAAAGGGATTGTGAATATAAAAAAAAAAAACTTTCGTAACGTTTGTTTTTGACGACTTCATAAAGGGTTATCTTTTATGTAAGGTATTTAAACTACTAACTTGGGCTATGGATTATGAAGGGTGTTATGTTGTATGCATGTTTGTAGTTAATTATTCCTACTATGAATCTGATGATTGGGCTATTTGTTAAACAAGTTATATAATTTTTTTTTTTTTATCTAATAATTCAAACCAAAAATCTGATGATGCCTACAGAAAACCGTTAACTCGTGTCTATTATTTAATAGATTATTATTATTTAGAAGTTTAATAATGTGCAATTTTTCATGGAGGCACAAAGGGCATGGGTCATCCCAAGCTTTACATATTCTAGCCTTGTCAATAATTTTCCATTTAACTTTTGGTGTCTTATTTGTTTCCTTCAGGTGCCAAAAATATTTTGATAGTGAAGTCTGATTTCTTTTGTTTATATTATTAAAGGAGCACTTATGCTGCCTCCATCTATCTTTAAAATTATTCTTCGTGGACCCAATGTATATCATATTAGTGCTAGGGCTCTCTGTGGATGAAATAGTACACTGGTATACCACAGAATTAATATAACATTTATTTTCTAATGGGCAGTCTTCTGGGTTTCTACAGTTACATAATTTTTCCCTTTTATCGTCTGATTTATATATATATATATATATATGTGTGTGTGTGTGTGTGTGTGTGTGTGTGTGTGTGTGCGTGTGTGTGTGTGCGTGTGTTTGCGTGCGTGTGTGTGTGTGTTTGGTTAAAGACAAACGAATATCCTTTCTTAAGCATTTTTAATGTATTATTCCCGTGTTAAACGACTACAACATTATCGCGGGGATTAACGTACTATTTATCTGATATTTCTCTTAAATTTTCTTTGTCGGGCTGAAAGAATTTTTTCATATCTTTTCGTAGATATATCGATGTTTTTAATTTACCTAAACGAAGGTGAAAGAGCTTACTGCATTAAATATGAATATATAAAACGTTTTTGCCGTTGGCAGGGTTAGGGTTAGACCACTTCTTACTCTGTAATTTATTCAGAATTTTGAATTGGACCCTTTATTCAATCCATAGATAATTCAGCTGCGCGTTTTCCGGGAGATAACTCTTATTTGTCAATTTTCTTAGTCCCATTGATGTAGCATCGTCTGTTTCAAGAGGATATGAAGTTCACTATTGATAGACCCGCCTCTAGCCGAGAACATTACCGATTACGACAGGCACTTGTACATGGTCGGTATGAAACATTATGATAAAACAATCGAATTGGAAACAACAATTTTAATAAGTCAGCTTAAATAAGCTGCTCGGAATATTTTCAGTTGCGTACTCGATCTTAGTTTTCAAAGGACGGCGTTGCGATCTTTCGCACCAAGAGTTAAACATGTTAATTAAGTCTCTTTATATATATATATATATATATATATATATATATATATATATATATATATATTTTGTGTGTGTGTCTGTGTCTGTGTGTGTATGTCTGTGTGTGTGTGTCTGTGTGTGTGTGTCTGTGTGTAGGATGTATAATAGTATCCGAAACAACAAAAGTGAAGACGATGAGTTAAAATCGAAAATTTATTAACGACGCGTTTCGCCAGAGAGTAGGCTCACTTTGGCTTCCTCAATTTAGAAAGCGTCATTAATAAATTTACCACTTGTCTCATCATCTTCACACACACACACCTACCCCCCTATATATATATATATATATATATATATATATATATATATATATATAATCTTGTATATTAGGGTGTCTTTGTGGAAATTGCTTTATTTATTTGTTCCCTGATTAGGTGTTGTTTATAGCCACGTGTTGTGAATTGATGTAGTTTAGTGCTACCAGCAAGCAGAAATATTTCTCCTCCCGATGATGGCCATTTTGGACGAAACTAGTCGAGGAATCTAAATGAAATAATAATAAAAAAACGAAAGAATATTAATCTACAACCCAGTGTGTCTAAAGATTTTAATTTTTCAAAATTTATATATATATATATATATATATATATATATATATATATATATATAAGTGCCATACGTGATACACGCATGGGCGATCATGTAAATTTCGATAGATGGTTGATGAGGCAGATTTTTCTCCCGCAGTAGGTTGCCATTTCTTTCTGCGGTAAACTATTTGCCAACCCAGTCTGTCCTGCTTTTCAACTCATAACTGGGTGGGGGGTGCTGGAGAAGAAATGGATTCACACCTTTCCCATGGGTATTAGTGCGTAAATGAATCTAATGATCTAATGAAATTCGAACTTGGCTCTACCGAGCTCTCACTCCAAGCCGATATCCATTACACCACAAACAGGGTGATTAAAAGTAAGTCTCTATTTTGTGTTTGAGTGAAATCCTGACTTAGCACTTTGTTACATTTTTCTTTCTTAAAAGAGCAAGTCTGCTATAGCAAACGAATTCTCTGGAAGAACTTGAAGAGCCAATACAAGAAGTTATGTCTTCCCTACCACGAGAGTCCCCGGTGAAATCAGTTGACGTGATTCCTAGACGGCTAGAGAAGCTGGTAGAAAAATCTGTTTTTGCCCATATCGAATTTTAAATAAAACCTCATGCTAAACGCTTTCCTCTAATAACCATTTCTTGCAAAAAATATACTTAATAAATAAATCAATTATTTTAAAATAGGGAGTTACTTTGCAATAACCCTATATATATATATATATATATATATATATATATATATATATATATATATATATATATAATATATCTTAAACAAACTATACTCGCTCGAAAACCTTCGGTGTCTTGACTTGCAAATAAACAAGCCAATACCAAAGGGAAAAAAGTTATAAAAAAAGAAAGAACCAAGAACATGTACGTTAACTGAAAATAATCGTCCAGCATACAAGTCCAAGGCCCAAAAGAAAAAAAAAAAATCCCGAGTAGGCAAAATAACTAAATAAAGTGCTCAATACGGCAAGTAGAGCAGACCTAGTTAAACCTAGAGAGCCAGACAAACCTAGCAAGGTTTCACCTAAGCGGATCGTCAAGGAAGACCGGCCTTGGCTGGCGATCCGCTTAGGTGAAACTATATATATATATATATATATATATATATATATATATATATATATATATATATATATATATATAGGTTACTACACTCGTCTCAGGAAAACCTTCGGTTTCTTGATTTGCTAATGATCAAAACAATTACGAAGGAAAAAAAGGTTTTAAAGAAAGAAAGAGCTAGGAACATGAACGTCTGTCGAAAATAATCGTACAGCATACAGGTCCAAAGCCCAAAGAAAAAAAAACCCGATACGAGTAATCAACTACCTAAAAAAAAGTGCTCAATACAAAAGTAAAGCAGACCTAGTCAAACCTAGAGAGCCAGGCAAATCTACGAAGGTTTCAGCTTTCCCTGACGATCCACTTAGATGAAACCTTGGTAGATTTGTCTGGCTCTCTAGGTTTGACTATACAGCCATGGCCAAAATTATGGAGCACCTATAAAAATTTAAAGTTTAAACCTACGTATTTCAAGTTTAAGAATCGTACAGTGAACAATTGAGAGCAAATGTAAAATATTTAACAGTAGATTGTAGTATTTTCTTTTTTTGCTTTAAAGCCTCTCTCAAGAGCTTTAGCTGAGTTTCGTACTAAATTCATTCCAATATTCAAAATGATTTATTGTCATACTAAAGGTTGTTTCGTAATTTTCAGGTAATATTTAATTCCTACCAGTGTATATTTAATTGAAAATGCTTCAAAAGAAGCAGCTTTCAGAGATTAAAAGGGACACAAATTGTTGCTTTATCTGGTGAAGGATATTCGCAGGTAGAAATTGCCAGGAAAATGGAATGTTCAAGGAAAGGGGTTCAAACAAGGATTAAAAGGTACAAGGAAACAAAGTCTTTCAAAAACAGAAAAGGACAAGGCCGTAAAAAGTCTACAACCGCCAAGGAAGACAGATCTTTGAAAAGAGCATCCCTTGCAGATGGAAGGAAACGTTCTTCAGAGCTTGCTGCTGAACTTAGGGAGGATGCAAACAAAAACATATCAGCTCGAACAGTGAGAAGAAGGTTATTAGAAGTGGGATTAAAAGGATGCAAAGCCAGGAAGAAGCCATACTTGTCTCAGGCCAACAAGAAAAAACGACTGAATTTGCAAAAACCATGAAAATTGGACACCTGATGATTGGGGGCAAAATTGTTTGGTCTGACGAAAGTAACTTTGAGGTAAGTTAACAGCTTCTATTTCCTAAACTTTGGATGTAATAATTGAAATTTTTATGTGAATACACATCCATAACATTTATTCAAAAATTGTAACAAATTCTTTTCTTTTTCATCAGATTTTTGGCACCCCTGGAGCGGTTTATGTTCGCCGTAGGGAAGGAGAGGCATTTCATCCTGATTGTGTGGTTCCAACTGTAAAATTTGGAGGAGGAAGCGTAATGGTTTGGGGCTGCATGGCTTCTTCAGGAACTGGAATGTTGTACACATGTAAGGGCAGAATGAACTCCACAATTTATACTAACATGCTGGACCAGGTTTACCGAATCTCTTTGACTAAAATATCTAATAATAACATTCCAAGTGATGTAATCTTCCAACAAGACAATGCTCCATGCCATACGTCAAAAGTTTCAATCGGTTGGTTTGAGAAAAAAAGGATTAAATTGATGAAGTGGCCCCCTCAATCCCCAGACCTAAATCCCATTGAAACTTTGTGGTCCCATTTAGGGAAAAGAGTGAGAATGCACAAATGTTCATCAAAAAAAGAATTAGAGGCCAAACTTCATGAAGATAGGCAGAAAATAGATCCTACCACCTGCAACAACTTAGTCAATAATATGCAAAAACGAATAAAAGCTGTTCTAAAGGCAAAAGGAGGACATAGCAAATATTGATTGTTGTTATTAATGTTTACTCCACTATTCTTAACCTTTAAATATATAAGTTTGAATCATAATTTCGATTTTTCATTGGTGCTCCATAATTTTGGCCAAGGCTGTATATATATATATATATATATATATATATATATATATATATATATATATGGTTGTTCCGTTCTTTGTGGACATTTTCATGTATTTAGTAAGAAACACATAAATCACGAAAGAAGAGATTTTTTGAGAAATAAATTGGCAGGAATAACCCTGAGACTCTTGCTGGCGTATCTACTTAATAAATCCTTTATTAACATTGATGACTGTTTCGATGATGAAACATCGCAGAGTCTTGATGGTAGGTGCTATCATCTCTAACTTCGATCCCCAAAAAGCATGTGAAGCCGATGGTATTCCTGTAATAGTCAGCGTGCTCTTGAACTGGCTCCTGTTCTCTCTAAACTGTATAATAAATGTCTCGCTGCCTCCTACTGTCCTTACTTCTCGAGGTTATCATCTGTTGTTCCAGTTTTTAAGAACTCTGGTGACCCTTTCATCCTTTCAAACTCTCGGCCTATTCGACTTCTACCTCTTTCTGGGGGGACTCCTATGGTCCCTAATCAATGCTGAATTGATTCATCTCCCATTGCAGGGCCTTTCCGCAGACAAGAAATATGGCTTCCGTTTCTCCAGGTCAGTTGCTGATGTACTCACGGAAAGAGTTTATCATGCTCTAGATAAAAGCGGAGAAGCCCGGGTTGTAGCTTTGGACTGAAAGCTTTTGACTGGGTCTGGAATTCAGTTCTTCGCCACAAGCTAAAAAATTACGGTGTCTCCGGACACTTTTTTTGAACTGATCCAATCTTTCCTATCAAATCGTGAAATGAAGGTTATCCTGAACGGCCACTCGGCTAGATCCTTTCGTGCTAACTCGGGTGTCTCCGGACACTTTTTTTTTTAACTGATCCAGTCTGTCCTATCAAATCGTGAAATGAAGGTTATCCTGAACGGCCACTCGTCTAGATCCTTTCGTGCTAACTCGGGTGTCTCCGGACACTTTTTTTTTTAACTGATCCAGTCTTTCCTATCAAATCGTGAAATGAAAGTTATCCTGAACGGCCACTCGTCCTTTCGTGCTAGATTTTTTTTTTAACCCAGTCTTCCTATCAAATCGTGAAATGAAGGTTATCCTAACTCGGATCCTTTCGTGTCTGTCTCCGGACACTTTTTTTTAACTGATCCAGTCTTTCCTATCAAATCGTGAAATGAAAGTTATCCTGAACGGCCACTCGTCTAGATCTAACGCGAACTGACAGCGTCTAAGAATTTGAATGAAACCTGTCGTGTAATTTATTGGGGTTATCGTAACGTCTTCCTTAATGTAGTCCTTATCGCTCACCCCTTAACCACCTTTATCTAGAGACGAGACGCGTTAGATTTGAGCAACATCCAGCCGACACACTGGGGTTAAAATAGGAAACTAAAATGATACATATGACACACTCATATCCTCTCTCCCACCTCACTTCCTCACTTCGTTAACTTTGCGTATACTTGATGAGGTCCGTAAAAAAACGTGAATTTCTTTTCATTTTTCATTTCAGCTTTTGGAAGTAAAGTCTGATGATCCAGAACCCTGTAAAAGGGGTTATGGTGAAATAGCTTATTACATGGAATCTTAACGTGGTCTGTCTTTTATTCAAACAAATATATATATATATATATATATATATATATATATATATATATATATATATATATATATATATATATATATCGGGTGTAACAGCAAAATTATTCAAATCCTGTAAAAAAGTAAAATTGTCCAATTGTTAGATTAATCTCGTTGTATTTTAGAAATGATTAAAGATATCTTACTGGAGTTCTCCGAGTTTTTTTTATAACAATATTGGACTCTACATTGAGCACTAAGAATGTACAATCAGTCTCATAATCAGAATCAAACCCTTAAACCCTGAGAAAAGGAGTGAGAAGCTATTTCATTTGTCGAAATCTTTGAGCTCATGACCGTTGAGACGTTCTTAGCAACCTTGCATAATCGTCCGTCATTCATTCGTTTGAACTTTTGGTTTTAATTCAAGTTTTTTCCTGTCAGAGATGAAGCAAAACATCCCAGGCTCTTGATGTGTAAGAATGCTCACCAAGCGCTTTGAGCGGATAAGACGCGGATCTTTTGTCTTTGCAGACATAAATTGGCCTCTTTACATTGCATATATCGAGGGTCATCACGTACAATGGTGACAATTATTTCCAAGAGAGTGCCTTGAAAGTTTGTGCTCTTCAGAAACGACATGAATTGAATTTTGAAAATTGAATTTCTGTGATTCTTATCGATAATTTTTGCCACCTTTCCTAGAAATTTGTGTGTTTGGTGACTGCTGCAGAATTCCTCTCAGGAGCGTCTTCCAGTTCCTTGCGAACTTTGACAAAAAACGACTGTCCAATTGACAGAAAGCGAACAATCTCGACATCATTATGCTCTGACTTTAAGACAATAATTACAGAGTACCTTTACAGTTACGTCGTTAGCTTGTGACTTGCCATCATTGATCTGAATGAAAATGAAAATTAGAACAAGTTAGACAAAAGCTACAGCTATTAAAATACGTGTTCACAAAG